GTAGAAGTGGACGAACACGACGAGATCGAGTTGCTCCCGCAATGCTCAGACCTCAACGATCCGATCCAAGTGGCTACAGCCATGACTCTGGCTCAGCACACTCTCGTATGGGACGAAGACAAGTTTCTAGCGATTGCGCCAGGTGAGGGAAAAAGGCCCGTGAGCATCCTTTACGACGAACACGCAGAGGAGCTCTCGTTCCCACAGATCTATCTCGGTGAGCCGCGCCGAGTAGATGCCAGCGCAAAACCGACAGTCTTCACACACGCCATGAGTGAGATCCGCAGATCAGACCGTCGAGGGGCCATCCCGCAGCACGTACTGTACATGGCCATGAAAGTCTTTAGGCACCGAGTAGCCGGTGACATGTGTGTGGCCTTCCGTAACATAAAGGCACTGGAAACACTAACGAAGCAACAGTTGCTCGACAAGGATTTTGTGCAGCAAGCGGTCGAGCACGACATGGCTTTCATGCATGGTATACCCAACACCGTGCAGTACTGGACAAAACGCAAGAAAGACCTCTTTGCTATGATACGGCAGTTGGGTAAGCCGACCACGTTCCTCACTCTTTCTGCCTCGGAAATGCACTGGCCCGACCTTTTGCAGTTGCTTCAACGCCTTCGGTTGAAGCCCGGCGAGATCGAAGTACCACTGGAGCAAATGAACAGCATTTATCGAGCTCAGCTAGTAAATGACGATCCCGTGGTCTGTGCCATATATTTCGACCGATTGGTGCGTGTCATTCTCAACATTCTCCGCAACACCCGTGTATCGCCTTTTAGGCCGTACATAGTCGTCGATTACTTTAAGCGGATCGAATTTCAGCACCGCGGGTCGGCACACGCTCACATTCTCCTTTGGCTTCATAACGCGCCCAACGAGGAGCTCTCGATGCTCATGCCCCAGACTCTTGAAATAGCCAACGTTCTGCTTTCCATCGACAACGGATGCTTGAAGCGGGAGCGGACTCAGGTGCACCAACACACGCATACCTGCTACAAGCACAACACCACCAGATGCCGCTTTAACGCGCCTTTTATGCCCATCGATGAATGTATGGTCGTAGTGCCTTTCCCCACTGTGGACAATGAAGCGCAGAAGAAAATCGAGAGCCTCCTAAACAAGTACGAGGCCATGCATCAGGCCCTGGAAACGACAAATTATGACTCCATGGAGCAGTTTTGGGAACATCACGGTGTCGCGGACAAGGCGGAGTACATTTCTGTTCTCCGAGCAGGCACTCCTCGTGCCACCATCATGCTACCCCGTACTGTGCAGCAAAAGTGGGTGAATTACTTTAACCCATGGGTTGCATCAATTCTCGATTCTAACATGGATCTTCAGATCGTCCTCGACACGTACGCGTGTGCTGCCTACGTGGTGGAATATGTAAACAAGGCCAACCGAGGTATGTCGAACCTCAATCGAGCAGTGCAAGAAATTGTCAAGGAGAAGGGGGATATGGCCTATTCTCAGGCACTGAGACATCTAGGTGTGAAAATGTTGAATGCCATTGAACTGTCCGCATAGGAGGCCGCATGGTGTTTGCTCAACCAGGATATGTCGGAGGCGAGTCGCAAAGTTGTCTTCGTGAACACTGCATGGCCCGAGGAGAGGACGCGCATTCGGAAGTCTAACGCTCAGATGGCGCAGGAAGGCTTAGTAGAATCAAGCACTGATGTATGGAAACGGACGATGATCGAGCGCTACGAAGACCGCATTCCCGAATTGGAACCTGTTACTCTAGCAGAGTTCGCTACCGAGTACAACATACATACCTACAGAAAGAGAAATCAGCGACGGATACTTCGCTACCGCGGTTACTCCGTAGACGATTCAGTCAACTTCAAGCGAGAACATGTCCTGCTTTTCTATCCATTCCGCAAAGAAGTTGACATCTTAGACCAAAACTGTTTCGAGCGTCTGTATGAGCAAAACATCGACGTCATTCTACAGAACAAGGCACGGTACCACAGTGACGTAGACATTGAGCAAATTCGTGCCGTTTGTAATTCCATGCTCCAGTCAAATGACGGGGAACATTGTGCCACTTCTGAGCTCCCAGATGTGAGACTGCACCCGATGGCCATGGAAAACGACGACTCCGATCTCCTAGACATCGGTATGGTCCAATCCAATGCCCCGTTTAAGCAGTGCCCCGCCGTGTGCACGCGCCAAGACGTCATGAGCAGAGATCAGTACCTGGACACAATGCGGAAGACGAATGAGGAGCAGTACGAGATCGTCCGAGAAGTCGTGCAGACTCACTATACCGGACTCTCCGCCACTACAAATCTTCTTCACGGGAGTGGCTGGATGTGGGAAGACATTTGTACTGCGTCTCATCATGGACGTCTACAACAGATATTGCAACCCTGCTGGTTCAGATAATGTAAACGCCTATGTTGCCTGTGCTACAACTGGAAAAGCGGCGGTCGCGCTTGGTGGAATAACTGTACATGCAGCGTTCAGACTTACCATAAATAGGGATGGCGGACTCCGGGACAACGAGTTGAACACGTTCCGCTATGCGTTCAGGAACGTCAGGTGCGTGATTATCGATGAGGTTAGCATGATGTCCACCGACATCCTTCAGAAAGTGGACTCGCGACTCCGCATCATCACTTGCAAATACCTAGAGCCTTTCGGCGGGTTAGGACATCATCCTCTGCGGAGACCTGCGCCAGCTTCCCCCCGTTCGTGCCGCCGAGGTTTTCAAGCGCGTCAAGACGAACAGTGTGTTCAACACGGAAATCGCATGGCACCATTTGTCATACTTTGTCCTCACGAAGGTCGTAAGGCAAAGCGATCTCAGGTTTTCCACCATACTTACCAAAATTGGAGACGGTGCAGAATTGGATTCCGAAGAAATTGCATTGATCCAGAGTCGGTTCGTCACGCAACAACAAGCAGAAACGTGTTGTCCCGGTGGCATCCGCTTGTACTACTCCAACAAGGAATCGGACTACTACAATACGAACACGGCCATTGCAACCGAAGATAATTGTGTGGCATGTCCGGCACGGGACACAATCGTTGGATTCAGGTCTATGCAGGAGAAGACAGAGGCAATGCGCAAGGCCGAAACGCTGCCCAAGGCCGAACTCGGAAACCTGCCAGCTAATATAATGCTATGCATTGGAAAACCATATATGCTCACACTCAATGTCGATATTTCCGATGGTCTGGTCAATGGCTCTGTTGGAATACTGCAGTACATACAATACGACACGCTCCGAGAGCCGGAACGCATCTGGTTGCATTTCGGTGAGCTTGGTTCCAAAATTGCGATTGGAACCGTGGCGGCCGCAAAATCCCGGCAGTTACGGGCACTCGACAGAAATATTCAGCAAATTTGGACACCTATCGAAAGACGCACAGTCACTTGCGTCATTGATAAGAAGTCAAGGATATCCCTGAGGAGATGCCAGCTACCCGTTGTGCAAGCAAGTGCTATCACCATTCACAAATCACAGGGAGGCACGTATGAAAACGTGGTGTACTCGTATGCCAAGAGTCATCCACAGAAATTGGTATACGTGGCACTGAGTCGTGCTACACACATCAACGGGCTCTACCTCACCAATGTGGACAATGACTTTACGTTCTACCACGGCAAGCCCAATCCCGACAAGGTACTACTTGATGAGTTTCGTCGGCTGCAGTCACACAAACTCCAAACTGTCACTGCTAAGTGCTACGCAATGATTAAGCAACCGCACTTATTCTCGGTCGCCGCACTTAATGTTCGCTCTCTGCCGGCGCATTCCAAGGACGTGCACCACGACCCCATCCTACGCCATGCATCTGTACTTTGCCTCTCGGAAACGTGAATGGATCCAAAACAGGCCGTAGAAATCATGGACTACCAGTACTGCTGCGGCGTCAGTAGAGAGCACAACAGAGCGGCAGGGGTGGCCATCTACGTGCGTAAGGGTCTTTCTGCCGTACCCATCGAGATATTTGGAACGTCAGACGAAGTTGGAGAACTTTGTGGCGCCAAGTTCGACAACGGCTTGGCAGTGGTGGCTCTGTATATCTCGCCTACAGCACTCACCAAAGATATCGTGCATTTTCTGCGACTTGCGTTAAGCACACGTGGGTCCACACCCATGTTAGTAGTGGGGGACTTTAATGCAGACTTAAAGAAGAATAAGAACTTCATACCACTTATGCAGGAAAACCTCCCATTTCTCTCCCTCGTAACAGCTCACACCGCTGTGACGACCTCTCGAAACACGTGCATAGACCTCGTCTTTCAAAATCAGCCTTTGGTCCATCACCTGGAACACATATCCTGTCACTTCTCAGATCACAAGGCTTCCTTCATAACAATCAAGGACTGGGATAAGAGTGCTATTTAAAGCACCAGTATAGGAGGAGCTTGCTCTAAATTTGTATATATTGTGGGGATTTTGGACGCCGAGCTTTGGCGACGATATGGACTGCACGCTAGGAAGAAAGGAGGAGAAGAACGAAAGCTGGGAAATTGTTCCCTCCGACGGTCTTGCGTACCTTGAGAGGTGTTAGGCGGGCCACTCGGAGGAGCATTTACCAGCTTCGTTATCAGTTGGAGCGTGCAAGTCGTACAAGACGAAGAGGAGGAGGAGGAGGAGGAGAGGAGATGCCAGATACCTGTTGTGCAAGCAAGCGGTCTCATCAATCGTAAATCACATTGGAGCTTCCAGATCTGACAAATATATTCCCTTTCTCCGTACAAGCGGTGAGCAAAAATACCACAATATATTACATAGTTCAGTACGGTATATCGCAAAATCGAAATACCTGAAAAGAGGAGGAGGAGCACAAGAGGAGGAGAAGGGCACGACGAGAGAGTACGGATGAGGAGGAGGGGCATACCCTCCCCTCCGTTCCCTCCCCCCCCCCCCCCCCTTACTTGGAGCACATTTGGAACTTAGGGAATGTCATAGCTCGGGGCCTCTTCCTTCCTTTGCTACTGGAACTACACACTCTAAGTATCTAGAGCTTGAATATTTTCATTCGAATTTAACATGGCCGACAGCATTGTTAAGATGTTCGACGAAAACATTGTAAACGACATTAACACAGCTCAAACCGGCTTCGCTACATTTATTGTAGGTGTGTTCCAAGCATGTGACGACTTTCATGACCCTGTTTCATCATCAAGTATTGAAGTTCATCTTGTGTCAGATCTAAACAAATTACAACACCATGTTTGGGGTAAGTCCCTTATCAAGTTTAAGATGGTGTGCCTGCCTGTAGCTTCTCTAAAGTGTCTTTTTTTACGCTTGTTTCACTTATTATAAGTGTTTTTTTTTTATATTATACTCCGCCGAGTGCCCCTCTTCCAGTGTCCATCCCACTTTTAGTCTGGTGATCACGTCACCTTGAAACCCTTGTAAGCTTAGAAGTGAAAACGTTTTGCTGCTCACGCACAGCAGACAAAAAAAAAAGGTAGGCAGCATTTTAACTTCTAACTGTCTAAGTATGGATGTCAAGCATAACCCCTGGGAAGATTTGCCCACTGCTTAACTACATGCTTTTTTTTTCATGTCCTGGTTGGCTGCTACACTGGAGAGGCTGCTGAACATCGTACCACGGCGGCTGATCATGGCGTTTTAGTTAAATTAATAATGGGGTTTTCATCCAGGACGTAAATTGGAAACTCGCGGAGCAAACTTTAAGGTACATTGGTATAATAATTGCGTACGTTGGCTTTGTACGTTATTAGCGTAAACCTTGGCTGGATATGCAACGCAGTTTCCAATATACACCACGGTTTTTCCCCAATCAATAAAATTTCAACCCTCCAAAATATTTGTCCTGACTCTATATTTCAGAGCGCAGCTCTTACGCGACCCTTTCCGGCTTGAGCGGCAAGGAGGAAAGCAGTACGAAGGTGGAGGAGGGGGGGAGGAGAGACGAGGAGGCGGAGGCGAGGGGAGGGGAGGAGCTTGAAGGACGAGGAGGTGGTAAAGGAGAGGGAGGGGAGCAGGAGGGGAGGAGGACTAGCAGGCATGATCACGAGGGAGAGGAGGAATATACCCTCCACTCCTCCTCCTCAAGAGCTGCGCTCCAATTCGGCGTTACAGGAAGTTGTAAACGGCTTTCACTTTTTTCCTTCTAAATTCCAAGAAATCTTAGTTCTTAACAATCACACAGTTGACGAGGATAGCAGCGTGTACTAGATAATGCGCAAAAAAAAGCAAAATAAAATATATATTCAAACGCCGCCCAGCATCTGATGAATAATTTTCAGCCTGGGTGCTGAATCTGATATCAAATGAGTTATAACAAAACAATACTGCTGACATCACGCAAAGAAAAACGATTATGATATTATTTATGCCAAAGCAGTTTACAGCTGCTAGAAATTAACTTCAAAGCAACTTAAGAAAGATGTTTGGATCTTATTGTTGGCAACTTAGTTGGTATGCATGAGTTAGTGGAGCACCAAGATTAAAACAATCCTCATCGCCATAATAATGTGAGTCGTGAAGCCGCGATCGGTCATTTTAAGTTATACGCTACCAACGGCACCGAATTATGCGCTAATGTCACAAAACCAGACCGTTTTTGCCACTAATTGAGTTTCTTATTTGGTTAACTCCTCGACGTAGCTTTTCTTCGGTTTGCTAAAGCTCAGCAAGCCCAAGCTTATTAACTTTTTAGCCGAAATACAACGTTCCCAACTATATAACGAGTATATCTTCGCTTACGCTTGTCATAATATAGGCACAATGTAATATAATTATTTATTAATAAAACCACCACCGGAAATTAAGGTACTAAATTTTATAGCAAAAAACGTGCTTAATTTTATTCTATTTTAAAACTGAAGACACATATACCGCAAAAAATAAATGTTCGCATTACCTTAGTCGGTGTTAAGAAGTATCAAAACGACAGTTGCGTGATATTTGTGAGCGTTTTTGTAGTGCTCACCTTTTCTTCGCAAAACCGCTCCATATACGCATGATTGTGCGGCTGATGTCGCTGTCGGGAGCGCAACCGCCCTCTTCAAAAGAAGTTCCGAAAACGTAGGGTATATCATCCGTGTGCGCTGTCTTCAACCAGGCTTCTCTCTCTATGCATTGGGGCACTTGACTGATCCTGTAGTAGTAGACACCCGCACCCGCGCTCTTCAATGCCGTCGCATTCGCCAACTTTAACGCAGTCCGCACGGTACTACAAACAACATGACCGTCTCCTCGTGCATCCACCAATGCTTGCTTCAATGCATCGTAATCAAAGTCCCTCAGATGCCCCATGTACTCATCCTGTACTTTCTTCAGCGAAGTAAGATTCAACGAGGGAAACGTCTTACCGAAGAAGTACGTCATTTCGACCTTATTTATTTTCCTCGAGGACTGTGACGCAGAAAATGTATCTCGAAAGTATTGAGAGATGTAAGAGGCACCCTCGCTCTCGACCTGCCCAATTAGAACGTCCTTGTCGCCTGGGAACGTCGCCAGTCGTGGTTCCACCGGCATAAACGCGTCGCCGAATATTGGCTGGAAAAAAGTATTCTTGCCATCGATTAACAATCTTTCTGTAACGCTTAGTTCACTGGCATTGGTTGCCCTAATGCAGCTAACCGTTTCAGCGCTTAACTCCCAAGTTGAATTGGCACCGCCGGAGCAGCCAAGAAATTTGGCGAGCTTATGAGCTCTGCCAAGCATATCCGAGCCCTTCCCCACTAGGTCTCTCCGATCGACTCCTCCGCTTTGAACGATGGCCCTGTGTATCATAGACTGGGTCATGGGTGACAGCAGATGGAACACGACGCTCCAGGCTCCTGAACTTTCTCCAAACAGTGTGATCGAGTCTGGATTCCCATTGAAGCGATCGACGTTGTCTGTGACCCACGTGAGCGCCAGTGCTTGGTCGTAGAGCCCCTGGTTGCCGGGTACGTCTTCACTTCCACCGTATAAAAATCCGAAGGCGCCGAGCCTGTAGTTAATCGTGACGACGACGACACCTCCGTAAGCAGACAAGACTGCGCCGTCGGGCGCTGAGCCAGTGAGAAGAGTTCCTCCAAATAGATAGACCATGACATTTAGCTTTTCCGACAAGTCCCGTCTTGGTGTCCAGATGTTGAGGAAAAGGCAGTCTTCGCTAATTCCAGAAGTTGCTAAAGAAAGAAAAAAATAACTGTAACCAACGTGAGCAGAGCAATAGCTTGCTGCAGTTCAATAAATGCAGTTCAAGCTGTTTCAGCAATATCCTTCGCTATCAGCACTTCGGCAGAGCGAACGTCAGAGTTTAGGCGAGTAGACAGGAGGACACCATCAGTCATGGCGAACAGAGAACATTGTGGGAGAGGTTTCTCCTGCTTTTCTTAACTTGACACAGACAATAAATTTAAAACTATGCTCTTTTTACCTCACTTTGCATGTTCACTTTATTACGTCATTCCCTAACGAGGTACTCAGTATAAATTTCTACTATCCGGATTGTGCAACTACAAACCTATCTGGAATTATTTCTGGAAACCTGAAATCCAGATAGAGTCCAAAACAATATCCAGTTCCAGGTTGTTGTTGGTGTTGCTGTTGTTTGCTGTTGTTGGTGTTGTTGTTGTTTGCTGTTGTTGGTGTTGTTGTTTGCTGTTGTTGGTGTTGCTGTTGTTGGTGTTGTCTGCTGTTGTTGGTGTTGTTGGCGTGGTTTGCTGCTGTTGGTGTTGTTTGGCTGTTGTTGGTGTTGTTTGTGTTTTTTGCTGTTGCTGGCGTTATTTGCTGTTGTTGGTGTTGCTGCTGTTGTTGGTGTTGTTTGCTGTTGTTGGTGTTTGCTGTGGTTTGCTGTTGTTGTTGCTGTTGTTGTTGTTGACAAAGAGAGAGAGAGAGAGAGGTGTTAGCGTTGACGTTTCGCCAAGTCGGCTGCCACGTACTCGGGTTAAGGGAAGGGGAAAATAAAGTTACTGTGATGACATAGCACAGTGAAACTATTGTTATGGTGATTGGAGACGCGATGTCAGTGCATTAGACTAAATCTAAAACAATAACTTTTCAGTTTTTGAAAGAACTCTGTTTTTCGTTCGCTCCTTTGTCGTGTGGAATGGAAACTACGAAGGGCAATAAAAAGTGCATAGTATTTTAGTCCGACCACCTCATTGAGTAATTTGCAATTTTTCAAATTTTGTGTCTCTTTTAAAGATTAAAAGATACAGTTTATCATAGCAGGGCTGGGCAGAGATACTCCAAAATGTATTCGGGAACACAAATACTGAGATGCATGTGCTTTAAGGGCCAAATAAAGATACTGGGATACATTTCCCTACCGAAAAATCCGGTATAACTTTTCACTATCCGGATTATGGAACCGGAAATTTGTTTCTGAAACCCGGAATCCAGATTGCAGACAAAAGAATGATTTCTAAAAACCTAAATTCCAGATAGAATCCGGATAAAATCCAGATAGATTTCCGGTTCCATAATCCAGATAGCGAAAAGTTATACCGGATTTTTCGGTAGGGTTGTCTTTTATGCAACGGGATATCTCTGAGATACTTCTGAAAAACGTCGAAAAAGTATTCTGGATTACAGATGCAGATACTTTTAGAAACACGCTTGTTGCAGAACGGTGCTACGTTAAGAGGGTGTAGTTCGTAGCGAATGCGAATGCTAGTTTTTGCTTGCTCTGCTTGAGTGGTGCCATTTTATGCACTACCCCCTACCAGAAACTCTCTATTTATCATTAACGCCGCTAAAAACATGTCCCCTCCGTTGAATCACACAGTTACAGAACGGTAAAGACTGTGTACCATGCTTGACAAAAGGCGTCTGCCCAATTTGAACCGTTTTATTTTTTTTATTTTTTTATTTGTTTGGCGGGTTTCTCCGCCCAGGGGCAGAGATGAAGGCGTGAAGCCTGACAGTCTCTTCCCCCCAACAGTTCAAAAGTAAACAGTGCAATGAATATAATCAGCAATTGGTATACTCAGTAAAAATTAAAAAAAGAAGGCACAATGAAACAGCTACTTCAACATTCAACATTGTGAATTTTAAAATAAAATAAAACAGCACAATAAAACAACTAGCAAAATCACATGTTACACAACAAGCATGATTCGAAGCGTATAACAAATGTAACGTCATATGACACAGAAGCATCATATAACCAATATAAACATTAAAAAAAAGATTTACACGAAAAAGAAAAAAAATTGAGAAGGTCACGGCATAAAATAGGGCTGATGGCCGCCGTTTAGTTTAGCAATGAACAATGATCAAATATATGTCAGGAGCCACATTTGTAGTCAAATATAAATACGTAATTAAAATAACAACTTGGCCTACATGTTACACAACTGAGAAGCTAATACCACTGCCCACGAGAAAGCTTCGGCACTGTTTCTTGAACGCATAAGACGTTTTATTATAATCTATTGTCATGTCTGTTCTGTTTAGCATCTTGATTATCTGATATGACAAAGCAGTGCGGCCATAATTGGTTCTTGTTGAAGGCATCCTTCGCTTTGGGTCTCGTAGTTGGTACGGACCTAAACTCGATTTTGGTGTGGAGTATAGTCTGTGTTTGTGAATCCATTGTAAGAGCTTAAAATAGTGTATTTGGTCTGCCTGAAGCATATTATATTTTATGAATAGTGGTTGGGTTCTCATGTTTCTAATATATCCTTTATAATTTTTGCTCATGTGAAGAATCCTCTTCTGCAAGGTGATAAGTTTGACATCGTTTGAATTGATCGTCGTTCCCGAAACTAAGATGCCGTAACTGATTGTAAAGTAGAACAAAGAATAGTATAACGCCTGTTTTAACCAAGTGGGCAGCAAGTTTCCTATTTTATATATACTTTCCGTAACACGAGATAATTCTCCTATTGCACCCTGCCGAGAGGGCGCATCTCAAACTGTCGTCTTATATACTTTGGAGACACCCATCGTGTCAGGGGATTCAACAGGACCGTCTACCTTTCATCCACTCAACTCTTTTACCGCGTTCGCTATCTTACAGGTTTTCCCGCTCATTTTAATCCAAGCGACGACCAATTTAATCCCGGCGTCGCTCAATTTAATCCAAGAGCCATACAATTTAATCCCGGGGTCAGTCAATTCAATCCACAATATATATATGCACTTATTGTGTTCAGTGGTCATGTTTCGCTTTAACATTTAGTAACTTAGAACAATTGTTTATACAATTAGAATTGTTGGGGGGCAATTGATAATTTGATCACTAATGTGATACTTTGAGTCACTAGTCCCACTGCTGACGAGGCTTGATTGATATGTTGGTTACTCTTTTTAGAGCGCAGCTCTTAGGCACCCGTTTCCGACCTGAGCGGCGTCGGCAAAGCCATCGCCGTCGGCGTAAACACGCGTTGCATGATCGGTGAATTCCCCACTAATTTTTTTAGAAAAATTTCCCCTCTAAATCTAACGGAAAATCTTCCCAGCTAAATGAAGCGGGAAATTTACCCCGATAAGTCTAGCGGAAAATAAACCCCGCTAAATCTAGCGGAAAATCTTCCCAGCCAGATTTAGCGGAAAATTTCCCCTACTAAATCTAGCAGAAAATATTTTCTGCTATATTTACTGCAAAATTTTCCCAGCTAGATTTAGCGGAAAATTTTTCCCGCTATAATAAGCGGAAAATTTTTCCCGCTATAATAAGCGGAAAAATTTCCGCACTAAATATAGCGGAAAATTTTCCCAGCTAGATTTAGAGAGGAAAATTTTCCGCTTAATCTAGCTGGGAAATTTTTCCGCTAGATTTAGCGGGTAAAATATTCCGCTAGATTTAAAGGAGAAAATTTTCTACTAGACTAAGCGGGGCAAATTTTCCGCTAAACCTAGCTGTGAAAATTTTCCGCTAGATTTAGCGGGCCAAACTTTCCGCTAAATCTAGCTGGGAAATTTTTCCCTAGATTTAGCGGGGAAAATTTTACGCTAAATTTAGTGGGGAAAATTTTGCGCTAGATTTAGCGGGGAAATTTTTCTGCTTAATCTAGCTGGGAAAATTTTCCGCTAGATTTAGTGGGGAGAATTTTCCGCTGAATCTAACTGGGAACATTTTCCGCTAGATTTAGCGGGGAAAATTTTCCGCTCTTGAGCGAGAAAGTTTCCCGCTAGATTTAGCGGGGACAATTTTTCCGCTAGACATAGCGGGGCAGATTTTCAGCTAAATCTAGCTGGGAAGATTTTCCGCTAAATTTAGCGAGGGAGATTTTCCGCTAAATACATCGGGGAATACTTTCTGCTATATTTAGCGAGGAAAATTTTCTGCTATATTTAGCAGGGAAAATTTTTCGTTAGACTTAGCGGGGCAAATGTTTCACTAAATCTAGTTGGAAAACATTTCCGCTAGATTTAGTGGGAAAATTTTCCCGCTAAATATAGCGTTAAATTTTCCGCTAGATTTAGCGGGGAAAGTTTTCCGCTAAAAAAAGCGGGGGTAATTTCCCGCTAGATTTAGCAGGGAAAACGTTCCGCTAGATATAGTGGAGAAACCTTTTCGCTCGATTTAGTGGGGAAAACTTTCCGCTAGATGTAGCGGGGAAATTTTTCCGCTAAATTTAGCGGGGGAATTTACACATCATGCACCTCATGGTTACGCCGACGGCGACGGCGACGCCGACGCCGTTCAAGTCGGAAACGGGTGCTTCAAAGCTGCGCTCTACAAAGAATAATTAACACACCAATTAAGCCTCGTCAATAGTGGGACTAGTAACTCAAAGTAATCCCATTAGTAATCAAATTATCAATTGCCCTCCAAAACTAATTGTATAAACAATTGTTCTAAATTACCAAATGTGTAAGGGAAACACGACCACTGAACACAATAAGTGCACATATGTATTGTGGAATAAATTGACTGACCCCAGGATTAAATTGTTTGGCGCTTGTATTAAATTGTATGGCGCTTGGATTAAATTGAGTGACCCCGGGATTAAATTGGTCGTCGCTTGGATTAAAATGAGCGGGAAAACCTGTAGATTGGAAAGAGTGGAGGGCTTTTTTGAGAGGACCTGATTTTGTTATTCTTGCAAGTAACCTTCTTTAAAACACAACTTTTTTTTTTTTTTGCTGTTGGTGGCTGAGATGGATTATCTTATAGGGCAGGTTCATATTATAAATTCGGAAGCAACTTGCACTAAACCGATGCTTTTATCCTTTAAATATATCTTGAGAAAGGCAACAAATGTAACGATATACCTAAGCCTGGCAAAGTATCGCTATACAACCGATACATTGTAAATGTTTCTCACTACTAAAATACAAATACATTTTTTTAATGTATCACAATGCAGAGACACGGATATTCAAAAGTATCACTAAAATACTATCGCAATACTGCACAGCCCTATAATAGGTTAATTCATCTCAGAACAGTTCATACGGGGCACTTCATGCCAATGGACCTTTTCCGAGAAGCGTTCTGCGCACGCGCGAGCGTCCGATGCCAAGCGGCGTAAGTCGGAACGAAAAATCGAGGAAATTCGGAAGGAGGCTGAGGATAAGCAAGTAGTTCACGTAATCGCTGCATATATATAATTGTGTTACACAAAAAAAGAAAGTGAACGGAAAGAAAAACACGACGTTTGGGTGGACGCCACGGATGCCCATTTTTAAAGTCGCGTTGGGCACGCGCGACTGCTCAGTGAGCGAAGAAACTGGTAGCGTAGCGCAGGTAGGTCACTTCCTCGATTTTTAGTGCGTGCAGCCACCGCCTGGTGCCGTCGGTATGTGGAAAAGGTCCATTCCATTTATTTTAAGATGCATTTCGCGAACGCTTTCCTAATGTCTAGATCCATTTATGCTTGCACCGCATTTAAGAGCTCGGCATGCACGCATAATTTATCACTGACTCCAAGTAACACCAAAAGTTGAAGAATGGCACAAGTTTCAAACCCATACTCATTAGTTTTTAACAGAGTTGCCCTACATAAATGCACCTTTAGGATTACTCGTGTTAGGCTACTTTCGCATCTCCCACGTACCAGACTTCGGATCTTGAAATGGCAGCTTCCTTGCGTCAATGGCAGCAGTCTGCATGCAGGCCGGGGCCAGCCGCGTGGCGTCGAGCGTATTGTTCCAGGATTCCGCGGGCTCTGGCCTCCGAAACCGCCGCTGGCCCACGGGCGCCCTGCCGTACGGGATTCCCGTGAAGCAGTCCACGCCTCTGTCCCCCAGGAGGACCCGTCGACAGCCGCGAACGTTCCCCGTCGTCGTCGACACGATGGGTCCGCTAAAACAAACGGCGAGGGCCGACCATGGGACGGTCAGGAGTAAAGCAAGAATAATCCTCCAGAGCATCATTCCGATCGACAGCTTTAAACCACAGCGTATGATGTTGCTGCGAGCTGGTAGAAACATTTGTTTTTGCTTTCAGAGCTGGCAGAAACAGGGGCCTTTGAAACTGCAATGCTACGCTATAGCTGCGAGCTAAACGGCGTAGCAAAACGAAAACATTTCGATCGAGGACATCGTTAGCGATACGGAGTCCCATTTCTATGTGACGCACATGTGCGAGGTCAAAAGCACCGCAGCTGCGCGAAAAAAAAAAAAAAAAAACGCGGGGTACAGATGAACGTACCTCGCACATGCCTTACATTGAGTTGGGGTAACAATTTCTCGGATTGTGGGTGTATCGCCTGGAGGGATTCATAATTTAAGCGCCACTGCGCACAGGTAAATACTATTACGCAATAACGTGAGGGGTGTCAGGATGATGCCGTCACCCTCAAGGCAACACCTTGCTTCAAATGAGGGTGTCGCGCCTCACCCAAACCGAAAACCGGATCAAAACTGTTATTTTTGACCGAACGAATCCGATCGAAACCGAAATGAACTACTTGTTATTGAACCTGAACCGGAACAAAGCCACAATCTCATGAGGTGGTTACCTGTTCACTGGGAAACGTTTCCACTTAATAAAACCTGAGCAGAATTTTAGTTTCCGAGAGGGGCCGCGAGGTCAATATTAACATTAGGGGCGCTAGCGTCAGCGCCGCAGTGTTACCTAACTAAACGGCAGCAACTTGGAAACATCTGAATAAAGTAAAACCTAAAAAAAAAAAAAAAAAAAAAAACGTCACGTTGGTGTGCAGTCCGATTTGGTGTCGACGCCAGGGTGTACACCAAGAGGCTAAAGTGATATTTTTTATGTTTTGTTTTGTTGCTGCTGAACAATACACATCAAGGGAAAAAAAGACGAATGTCAAAAATTAACCGCGAACTTTTTCTCCAAATGCTAAAAATGCATGAAATGCAATATTTAAGACGTGATCGTTTCAATTTTTATAGAATACAGGAAAGGCCTAATTGCAAAAGCATTATCTGTCGGATTTTATTGGCATCTTTTATATTCCTAAACCACATTTCGCTGTAGCCGTATTGCAGCGAAATATTGCATCCTCATTTTAAAACCGGGATTAAATATCGCATTTTGGGGCTCTCTCAAACACCACGCAAAATCCTGAGGCAGCATGAGCAACAAAACGTATCGGTAGCCATATAAAAAGCTTAGACAAATATTTTATTTTATTCAATCTAAAAGTAGTATATTGGAGTGATGAAAACATTCAGTTATTTATTCGCATTTTTGTTTTAGTTGGACGCCACTGCATTACATATTTGCGATACAGTTTCGGTTTCAAACATATTCGTGTCTTCCCTCGTTTGGTAACCATCGTAACCATGCCCCTGGTCCCGCTTTGTATCGCATTCGTTGTGAAATGGGGTTGTGAAACCTGGTTCTAGATTAGAATTATAATAAAGCATAAAGTGAAGTATTAAAGAACTACAATTCCCCACCTAGAAATTATATCCCGAAATAATAGCCTCTCAGTTACGCAAACACAGAGCTCCAGACCACTTACCAAATTCTTCTTTCCTGTGAGCTTTTCTTAATATTTCTTCCGAGTTCGTAAACATGTGTCACCTCATATCTCATCACCCTGCGGGCTCGACGCCGCATGCGCGCAAATCTTTCGCCATTGAAGGCGCCTTGTCAAATTTGGGAGCTCGTAGACCTTCGCCTCTTCTGAGCACTTCCCAAACCCCGCTCAAGCACAAGCCCCCCCCCCCCCCCTCCTCTTCTGATGATGGCCTTTAAGCGCCGCAATACTCCCTTCTGCCTCTGTTTTGTCCGTGGGCCAGAAGCACCATCTTCCGGGCTTCTTGTGTCACGGGAGAAGCAGACAAACGCTCGCAGACGTCGTCTTGTCCGGCTCCATTCATCTCTCTGTCCCCTCTTTGCTCGCTCTAAACTTGTCGTCAGTCAGGCTCATGAGCTCATCCATGTCATATTTTTTTCTGGTTTTGACGAATTTTTATTTTCATTTAGTTTTTTTCGGCTCAGGAGAGACGGGTGTACGTCAGATAGGCCGAAGGCCCATTCCAGGTCCTGCAAACACCCGAACTAAAAAAAAAAGAGAGAGGGGGAGGTGTTTGGCAGCTTGGTCCCGACAACAGAAGGGCCAAGCTGCATCGAGACATGGTGTGTGAGCTAGCTCTGCATGCCTGACTTACATATTTTTGGAACTGTGCAAAGCTGGCCCATCTGGCACCAGACAGGGGTGAATAAGGGGCCCAAATACAGAGGAGAGTAATTGTTTAAGTATGTGGCCTTCGCCATCAACGGGCAATATAACGAATGCTCAAAAGATGTGTAATGAGAAGGCAGCCAAGCAAGCGCTGTCATCGGTTGAGATCGTAGAGAAAAACAAAAACATGTGGGTGTATTTGGATGGTAGAAAAACGCACGACGTGCGCAGAGAGCAGATGAACTTACACGCCACACACAAAACATTTTTGCTTCAGTGACAGCAGCCGACATTGCGCGTGAAAAAATATCTGAAGAAACATTAGCACAACCTTACCTTTCGCCAGATGAACATCTTTCCCTGGAGCTAGAAATATAAACACTACCTCAACAATCCCTTTTTTCCAACCTTTGTAATGTTCATTGGTGCTTGTGAGGCCACGTTCTTTTAGATTCCTACTTCAGAATGCTTCCGCTCCTCCTGCATGTCCTTGCCTTGGCCCGTGAGCAGCCGAGTCGTCCTCAAAGTTCAAATATTTGCATTAACTATTAGATAGAGATATTAAAAAAACTGTGCAAAAAAGGCGGGACACAAAGTAGAAGAAGGACACAGGACATACGCGGACTAACAACCAAAGCTTTAATAGAACTTCGACAGAGATAAGTGCTAATAAACAACGCGTTCTCTGTGGGCGTTGAAGAACTGTTTTACTTTGCACCACATGATGAACTTTTTGTCCCCGTCAAAGAACTGATTGAAGCATCGGGTACCGTTGCCTTCCAGAACACGTGTGGAATACAGACTGACCCCTTTTTGTAGGTGCTTTTTTGCTCCCTAAACTCCACCCTCGACTGCTCTAAAGACAAAGGTTCATTTGCAGATACGTGGTATTTGTATCGGGTCCAGTGTTGCACCTGTATTGTGCGAAATCTGCCTCGCGAAGTTCGACCACACCGTTTCACAGGTATTGACTGACGTACCTGTTGTTAAGATCTGTAGATATGTGAATGACTTTGTCGTATTCGTTAGCATACACCAACAAACTCGCCTGGACTCAGCCACTCAGCCTGTCCGACAAGTTTTTGAGCAATGCTCGAGGCACTTACGTTCCACGCTCGAGTTGCCGGCGGTCAAGCATTGAAGTTCTTGGGCTTACGTTTGCCCTTCAATGGCTCCGACCACATCCGTTAGATGTATTCGCCGGAAACCAAAAAGGCTATTTTATAATTTGAGTCGGCGCACTCTAAATCAGTAAAATGGGGTATCGCCAATTTATGCCTCCTCTCGGCTTTACAAAAGTCATGTGCCCTAGCCGTACGTGAGAGCTTCGACCGCCAGCTACATCACCTGGAACTTTCGGGTTTCCCTCCTTTTCTGGTGAGACGAGTGGCTGAACCCCCGCTTGTTTGGCCTTTTCTTAGTTGCAGTGTCAGAATTTTTCATCTTCTTAAGAAGATAAAAAATTCTGACACGGCAACAAGGAAAAGGCCAAACAAGTTCGAAGTGCTGCCCTATGTTCACAGGATCACGCACAATTTGAAACGTGTAGTAGCAAACTTCAACGTCGACGTTGTCTTCAAGGCCCCCTGCGAACTCTCCAAACTGTCTGCGATGTCAAGCAGGACCAAACCTAGGAACGGCCCTTGTAATACGAGGCATGCCAAGCAGTTTGTGCATTGTTTCAAGGAAGTCGTCTACGAGATCCCTCTAAGGTACGGAAGAGTCCACTTGGGTCAGACTGGTCGTTGTTCGAACAATAGGCTCCGTGAGGCACGCGGCCTCGCTCGGCAGTGGCCACGGCAGTGTCTTTCTCCGTCCTTTTTGCGCCGTTTTTTTAATATTTCGTTCAACCAACCAGCCCAGCGAGCCATCCTGTTAGCTAACGTAAGTAGTCCATGCCTTTTTAGATTAATCTGACAGTTTTTTAGGGAGTTTTGTTCTGGAAAAGGGCTGGAAAACACAACGCTTATCTCGCATTCTTTGAAAATTCTCGACTAATGAATACATGATGGAACTTGTATAAAGGAACCACAGGCTGTCTAAAAGACACTTACGCTACCGGTAAGCTGAAACACTGCGACAGCTGAGGTGCGACGTCGGAGCCACTACGGTGTCATTTCGGAGCAGATGGACTGAGTGAAGAGTAAAGGTGCGAGCGCTCACTATAAAGTCCACATAGGCAATTCGTATTAAACCAAGTAACATACCGGACGAAGATTCCATAGCGTTTTCAAACCAGTGAGGGTGTATTAAGGCTAAAGCATTTCGTGAAACAGTTAAAAAAGTTTATTGAACACAAACTAGGACTGCCTTATGGTAAGTGAAGAACACTTCGAAAATGGCGCTTCCAAGTTTCAATTTAGGGAACGACGAAACTGCATGTGTATGCACGAACCATTCCCTATCATTGGTCTGGCTGCCTGGACGTCCTATGCAATGTTATTGAACACCAACTGCTATCGCCTTGTGGTCATTAAAGAACATTTCCGAAATCGCGCACTCAAGTTTCAAGTGGGGAGCT